AACAGCCCAAAAATGGCCTGAAAACAGCCCAAAAAATGGCCTGAAAACACCAAAAAGTGGCCTAAAATGGTCCAAATAACAGCCCAAAACGGCCTGAAAACAGCCCAAAAATGGCCTGAAAACAGCCCAAAAAGTAGCCTAAAAATGGTCCAAAAAACAGCCAAAAATGGCCTGAAAACGGCCCGAAAAACGGCCTGAAAACGGCCCAAAAAATGGCCTGAAAACAGCCCAAAAAGTGGCCTGAAAACAGCCAAAAGTAGCTTAAAATGGTCCAAAAAACAGCCCAAAAATGGCCTGAAAACAGCCCCAAAATTGGCCTAAAATGTTCAAAAAACAGCCCAAAAATAGCCTGAAAACGGCCCGAAAAAACGGCCTGAAAACAGCCAAAAATTGGCCTAAAAATGTCCAAAAAACAGCCCCAAAATGGCCTGAAAACAACCCAAAAATTGGCCTAAAAATGGTCCAAATAACAGCCCAAAAATGGCTTGAAAATGGCCCAGAAAAGGGCTTGGGAAATGGTCTGTTTTTTTGGCCATTTTTTTGGCCATTTTAAGGCCATTTTCCAGTGCCCGGAAGACCAGAAGATCAGGTGGACCCAGTAGGCCCGGTTTTTCGCCCTCCCCAGGCTCCAGTGGCTTTCTAGGAGCCTGGGGAGGGTGAAAATGGCCTTCTCCACACACACACATTCCGGAGGCCCCCCAGAGGCCGGAAACAGCCCGTTTCCCGACTTCTGGTGGGCCTGGAAGGCCTGAATATCTGCTGGCTAGCGTGTGCATGAGTGCTGGAGCTGAGTTAGGGCAATGCTTGCGTGCCCACAGATATGGCTCCGTGTGCTATCCGTGGCAGGCGTGCCATGGGTTCGCCATCACAGGCATTGGGTGTAGGGTTTCTTGCTTGAGCGACGGGTTGGACTAGAACATCTCTAAATAGTCCCTTCCAACTCTGTCTTTCTGTTAATCGAGACAATTCTGGTGCTGTTCCAGAATATCCTCAATGCATAAACTCCTACCACAAGAACATTTCTAAGCGTCCACATTGCTCTCTCGCCCTTTTGACGCTATATGACACATTACCAGCCTCCCTACCATGTGTTGTTTATTGCCACGAGCTGCTGAACTCCTGAGAGAAAAGAATAATCTCAGGTTTGTTATTTAAAAAAGGAAAAAAAGAATTTTAGCCCGGATGGCTAAAACATAATGAAAAATACCGTATTTTTCAGAGTATAATACGCACCTTTTCCCCCCCCAAAAAAGAGGGTGAAAAATCTGGGTGTGCCTTATACTCCGAATGTAGCCCCACTTGGCTTCTCAAAAGGAGGTTTCAGAGGCTGAAAAAAGCATCAGAAATGAAGCTTCAGAAAGAAGGCCCCAAACAGAGCTTCAGAAAAAAAGCCTCCAAACAGAGCTTCAGAGGCTTTTTTTTCTGAAGCTGTTTCGGAGGCTTTTAGAGGCAGGAATTTTTTTTTTTTTTCTGAAACAGAGTTTCAGAAGTTTCAGAGGCAGAAAAAAAAGCAAGGCACAGAGCTCACAACCAAGGAACCTGTTGCTAAAATTCACCTCTGGGAACAGCTGATTGGGGGTATTCCAGGAGGCCGATCCACCCACCAATCAGATTTTTTCTTATTTTCCTCCCCAAAAACTAAGGTGCGTCTTATACTCCGAAAAATATGGTAAATAACCCAACTGACCTTCCCAAAGCTAAAAAAAAAGTCTTCGATTAGTGGGATCCAGATATTCATGCTAATTGTGATACATGTGACTTAAACAGAGGTGGGATTCAGCAGGTTCTGACCAGTTCTGGAGAACCGGTAGTGGAAATTTTGAGTAGTTCAGAGTAGTAAAAATTCTGACTGGCCCCGCCCCCATCTATTCTCTGCCTCCTGAGTCCCAGCTGATCGGGAGGAAATGAGGATTTTGCAGTAACCTTCCCCTGGATTGGGGAGGGAATGGAGATTTTACAGTATCCTTCCCCTGCCACGCCCACCAAACCACGCCATGTCCACTAAGCCACACCCACAGAACCAGTAGTAAAAAAATTTGAAACCTCCCCACGGGACTTGAAGGTCCAGCCAAAAGATCTTGACTGGGAAAGGCATGATGGAGGGGAAAAAAAGAGGAGAAAAAGAGGCAGAGGGCAGAGAAAAATATATAAAATTAAGTCGCTTGGATATCATTAATTGATTACGGAATTAGAATCGATGAGATTTGTTTTTGGTGGCAGTGAAGGCTATTAAGGGAATCGTGGTTAAATATCCTCAGAAAAGTGCCCAGTTTTTAGCTTCGGTGAAATTGTAATGTCAATTAGAAGGAAGCAAATTAATCAACCAAGAACTTGATTCAATTGAGAGATTTATTGTCAACATGTCTTCCAGGGAAGCCATCCTGATCGGTGGTAGAAGCGTGTAAAAGTTACTTCTTCAGCAAGTAACTTTGAGGCTTGAATTGTTTAGTCACTGATTTTTACTTAATATACAAGCTACCCAGAGTTAAGAATTGATTGTAATTTTTGGAACAAGGAGGACTAAAGCATTGGACTATTGGACTATATTGGACTAACTGATCGCCAACACTGGCTGGCTCTGAATTTTCTGAGAATTTCTTCCTTGAATTAGCGATTTTCTGTCCAGATTAAAAAACAGAAATTATTTCATCAATGTTCTGTAGCGGTGGTGAAATCCAAATTTTTTTTACTACCGGTTCTGTGGGCGTGGCTTGGTGTGGCTTGGTGGGCGTGGCTTGGTGGGCTTGGTGTGGCTTGGTGGGTGTGGCTTGGTGGGCTTACCGGAGGAAGGATACTGCAAAATCCCCATTCCCACCCCACTCCAGGGGGAAAGGATATTGCAAAATCTCCATTCCCACCCCACTCCAGGGGAAGGATACTGCAAAATCCCCATTACCACCCCACTCCAGGGGAAGGATACTGCAAAATCACCATTCGCACCCCACTCCAGGGGAAGGATACTGCAAAATCTCCATTCCCTCCCCACTCCAGGGGAAGGATACTGCAAAATCCCCATTCCCTCTCCACTCCAGGGGAAGGATACTGCAAAATCCCCATTCCCACTCCACTCCAGGGGAAGGATACTTCAAAATCTCCATTACTACCCCACTCCTGGGGGAAGGATATTGCAAAATCCTCATTCCCACCCCACTCCAGGGGGAAGGATACTGCAAAATTTCCATTCCTACCCCACTCCAGGGGAAGGATATTGCAAAATCTCCATTCCACCCCACTCCACGCAAAGGATATTGCAAAATCCCCATTCCCACCCCACTCTGGGGCCAGCCAGAGGTGGTATTTGCTGGTTCTCCGAACTGCTCAAAATTTCCACTACCGGTTCTCTAGAACTTGTCAGAACCTGCTGGATTTCACCCTTGCTTCTGAAGGCTGAAAACTGTTATTGACGAGACGATCTATGGATGCATCATCCTGTTCTAATAACCATCATTTATGTAAAAAGTACTCAAGCGTATACAAAATACACCTTGGATATGACACGCTGACATTCCCACGTGTAGGTCTGTCCATCTACACAACCACAGAGAGAAATGTGTGGGTCTCATTTACACTAAGCCAACACAAACACAAAGGGCCTCACCAAATTTTAAGAAGTTATTTGCAAAACTGTATTTGAAGAGCTCCAAGTTTTGTAGGGCAGTCCTCGAGTTACGACCACAACCGAGCCCGACATTTTTGTCACCAAGCGAGACATTCGTTAAATGAATTTAGCCCCGTTTTCTTGCCGCAGTTTGTTAAGTGAATCATTGCAGTTGTTAAATGAGTAACCCGGTTGTTAAGTGAATCTGGCTTTCCCATTGACTTGGCTTGTCAAAAGATCGCAAAGGGGAATCATGGGACACACACCCCCCCAGACACCACAACAACAGTCATAAATGTGAATCGGTTCCCAAGCGTCTTAATTTTGACTACGTGACTTACAACAGGGTTGACGCAGTGGTCGTAAGTGTGAAAAACGGTCATAAGTCCCTTTTTTTCAGTGACGTCGTAACTTTGAACGGTCACTAAATGAACCATTGTAAGTTGGGGACTACCTGTATAGAAACGTTCACATGCTATGAATCAGATACCTTCGTCCAAATGTGAGCAAATCCCTCACATATTCACGATATCTTATTTCAGCAAATATTGCTTATAAGGTAATTTCCCTCAGTTTTCCTCTGAAACTTTCTAAAGATCTTAGAAAGCAAGAATTTATCTACAGGTAGTCCTCGACTTAGAACGGTTCATTTAGTGACCATTGAAAGTTACAACGGCACTGAAAAAAAGGTAACTTTTTCACACTTAACAACCATTGCAGGCTCTCTGTTGTTGCGTGATCCAAATTCAGACGCTCGACAACTGTTTCATATTTATGACCGTTACGGTATCCCGGGGTCGCATGGTCCCCTTTTAGTGACCTTCTGACAAGCAACGTCCCCAAGGAGAAAGCCAGATTCACTCAACAACCGGGTTACTAACTTATCCACGGCGGTGACTCACTTAACAACCACTGTGGCAAGAAAGGTCGCGACATGGAGCAAAACTCGCTTAACGAACGTCTCGCGGAGCCGCAGAAATGTGGGGCTTCCATTGTGGTCGTAAGTCGAGGACCACCTGTCCTGAGTGCGAAACGAGACCACGAAAAGAAAAGCAAAGAGGCGTCAGATGGATCTAGATTAGCCAGGAGAGGGAGACCTAAACATGGTGGTGGACATGTGGACTTATGCCCCATTTCATCTCCCTGAAGGAACGTTGTTGGAGAACGTAACAGTAACGGAGTTGGAAGGGACCTTGGAGGTCATCTAGTCCAACCCCCTGTTCACGCTAGGGATTCGAACCGCCGAACTGCCGACCTTTCTGATCGACAAGCTCGGTGTCTTTAGCCACTGAGCCACCTAGTCAGGTGGAATGTCATGGAAACCATGTCATGTCATGTCATGGAAACCTAGTCATGGAAACCATGAAAAGGACGGAGGGGGAACACATGGAGGTCCACCTACCTGCTCTCACTGCATTCTTTCTTCTCCCTCACGTTCAACCACTTCCGAAGGAGGAAGCGCTTGCGCCGGGGAGAGGCGCTCGGCGTGGAACAGTTGGACCAAGGGGCGTCTTCATCGCTGGAGGGCGTGATTTCGATGGAGGGGAGCTGAAGGAACTCCTTCGAGGAGGAGGAAGATGCGGCTTCTGGATTCTGCTCTTCGGCGTTCCTGACACGGCGCAACCTGAAGCGCCTTCGGCGCAAAGTCGGGGTGGAGGAACTGGACCAGGCGTGGCCCTCCTCCTCCTTCACCTGCGGCTCTGACACTTGCAAGGAGGGCAGCTGAAGCATCTCGCTCATCTTGGCTGCCGGCATGGAGTCCTGGGTCTCTTCCACTCCTTCCTTCATTAGACCTTCTGTCTTCTTTCTTTCTTCTAGGACCCCTCACTTCTAGATCTCCAAAGAAACTGAAGAGCAAAAACTCACCTTATTCCCGTCTGGGTTGTGGGAGTTGCGATGCTGCCTTTGTCTTCCATATTCCTCAGGTGGTCTCATTGAACCGAGGAAGCCCTCCCGTCCATGGAGAAGGCCGGCTGCAAGAATTTATTGTTTTCCTGACTTCCCAGCCAAGTCCAGGAACTCCAAGGCACAACTTTCCCAAACCTCACACCTGGCTCTAACCGGAGCAGCTCCCAGGGTTTCTCACCGAGGACCAGAAATCAGGTTGCCTGTTGGTGCCTCTTTCTCTCTTCCCTCTCCTCCGCAGCGCTCTTTCCTCGCCTGTGTGTGTGCAGAGCTGATGGACGGCTCCCGAGAAACTCTCATTGGGGTGCGTCCTGGAGGGACGGAATGAGAATCGTGGAGGAGCTGCGTTGGGGAGGGGAGGTTGGAAGGAAAGAAAAGAAAACAGAGAGCGAGGGAGGGGAGGGAGGGAGGGAGGAAGGAAGGAAGCAGTGATAGATGATAAAATCAGCAAAGGAGGAGAAGAGGTGGGAGGGGGCTCCTGCCCCAGGCTGATGAGCTCAGACAGCTGCTGCAAATGTAGCCACACGCTCTGAAGTCCAAGTGACAAAAGTCTCGGTTACCAAGCATGCTGCTGTTACGCCAATCAGCCATGGAGTAGGTTTGGGGGTGGGGGGAAAGGGGGGTGGGAAGCAAGCCTTCCCGACAAAACCATTGGCCGGATGCCCCGTCCGTCTCAGCCCCTTGGCTGGCTAGATGCCCCACTCGGTAGAAGAAGGAAGGCCACGAGATGACCCTGAGCCTTATCCAATGACATTTGAGTTCTTTCTCGCGTCTCCTTGAAAGCCACAGATGGTGGGTCAAAGGAGGAAGGAGTCAAAACAAACAACAATTAAACGTCAGTGGGACTAGATTTATCCTTCCCGCCACGTTTGACTAGAGAGGATCAAGGATCGCCCAAGTCCTTGAGCGAAGGACTCGAAGAACGTAAATTGGGACAAGCCAAAAGTGGAGCAGATGACTCCCTCGTACCCTTTCGAGCTCAGCCTGTTTCTGACCAGCCATGACAGGCAAAATGGATGGAGAAGAGGGAGTCAACGTTTTTGCGTTTCCATGAACCTCGGAGAGCGGGGTCAAGATTGCGCGAGGCATCCTAGCAGAGTTTTCTAAATGTTGGGCTGGGCTCAGGGGTGGGGGTTCGCAGGGGTTTGGGAGAACCTCTAGCTAAAATTCTGTGCAGTTCGGAGGACCCCCAAATCCCACTCCTGGCTGGCCCCTCCCCTCCCAGGAATCTCCATGTGGCCCGTTTTGGATGCAAGTATGTGCAGGACACATGTGGTGGTTTGAGGAGGGTGAAAAACAGGCCTATCGGAAGTTCAGGAAGGCCGGAAACGGGCCCATTTCCCGCCTCCAGAGGGCCTCTGGAGCCTGGGGAGGCCGCTTTCGTCCTCCAGGAAACTCAGGAAAAGCCTCCGGAGGCCAAGGAGGGCAAAGATGCCCCCCCTGCCATGGTGCAGGTGGCCAACTAGGCCACACCCACCATGGCTACACCCACCCTGTAACTGGGCAAAAAACCCTTGCTAAAATTTTTGAAGCCCACCACCCAAAATGGCATTTTTTTTTCAGGTCGTCTCTTCTGTTCCATGGGATGGAACAGCTGGAGAAGACCTAACCAAGGTCCCAAATGTGGTAAGGATCGATTCAAGAGGGAAGAAGTTTCTCTATTGTTCAGCTAAGAGAGGTTTTGGAGAGAGTGAGAAGAAGACAGGCGACTTGTATCGACCGTCTCCCCACACTCTTGACCAAGGAGGACCCAGATGAAGTTCCCGCATTAGAACCCAAAAGCTGAAGTTCTGCTTGTCTTACTGTCCTACAAGGAGGTGAGAGTCTTGGGTGAGAGTCTTCTTAGGCATGTCAATCAACAGATGCCAAGAAGCTCATAAGATGATACATTGAGCCTTCTCGGACTAGGGTCTGCTACAAAGAAGAGGGAGTCAAGCTATTCTCCAAAGCAGGACAAGAAGCAATGGGTGGAAACTAATGAAGGAGAGAAGCAACCTAGAACTAAGAAGGAATTTCCCGACAGTTAGAACAATTAACCAGTGGAACAATTTGCCTCCAGAAGTTGTGAATGCTCCAACACTGGAAAATTTTAAGAAGATGTTGGATAACCATTTGTCTGAGGTGGTGTAGGGTTTCCTGCCTAAGCAGGGGGTTGGACTAGAAGACCTCCAAGGTCCCTCCCAACTCGGTTATTCTATTCTATTTATCATGATTTGGACATGTGTTTTTGGTTGAGACACGGAGCAATGCCAACATTACGGAGAAGAAATAGATGTCGGCTGACGCACCACCAACCTAATTGTAGGTAGCCCTCCTCTTTATGACCAGAACTGGGAGCAGAATTTCCATTGGTAAGTGAGGCTGTCGTTAACTCAGTCGCATACTATTTTATCACCCTTTCGTGCCACAGTTGTTGACCGAAACAGCAGCAGTTAAGAGAATCATGCGATCGGTAGGCTTCCCACATTGCCTTAGCTTGTTGGAAACCGGGTGGGATACCGCAACTGTCAATCACACCAAGCGCCCGAATTTTGCTCACGTGACCATGGGGACGCTGCGGCGGTCATAAGTCCGAGGACTGGTTGAAAGTCATCTTTATTTTTTTTTCCCCCAGTGCCATGATAACTTTGAACGGACACGAAATAGATAGTTGGAAGTCAAGGACAACCTATGTGCTGTGAGGTAGTGCTTATTCCTGTTTTACAGGAGTTCATTTCAGATTTACCATTTACAACTTGAGACTACAATTCGAACCCGGCATTTATGTTGCTGAGTGAGAAATTTGTTCAGTGAGTTTCGTTCCATTTTACGACTGCCACATTTGCAACTCAGCAACAACAGCGCTGAAAGAAGTGACTTATGACCATTTTTCATACTTACGACCAAAAGTGGGTTTCAGCAGGTTCTGATCAGTTCTGGAGAACCGGTAGCAGAAATTTTGAGTAGTTCGGAGAACCGGTAGTAAAAATTCTGACTTGCCACGCCCCCATCTATTCTCTTGCCTCTCAAATCCCAGCTGATCGGGAGGAAATGGGGATTTTGCAGTAACCTTCCCCTGGATTGGGGAGGGAATGGTGATTTTACAGTATCCTTCCCCTGGAGTGAGGTGGGAATGGAGATTTTACAGTATCCTCCCCCTGCCACATCCATCAAGCCACGCCCACCAAGCCATACCACTCCTTCCATGCCACACCCTCAGAACCGGTAGTAAAAAATTTTGAAACCCGCCAATGACTGTGGTCATAAGTCGAGGACAACCTGGACTGGCCATTAAGCATCCTCTCAAGCGTAGGACAAGAGGCCTTCTGCTTTCCATCTTAAGCGCCATTTTGCCTTTGGAAATAGACCTGTCAGAAATGGTGTCAGGTCTCCTGCTTTGGCCGGGGGGGGGGGTTGGACTAGATGACCCACAAGGTCCCTTCCCACTCTGTTCTGTTTTGTTCCGACTCCTAGAGAGATGATTGCACAAACAAGACATTCATGCAGAGATAGAAGCAGGGCAAGATTTTAGCAAGGAAATTAGACCCGAAGGAATTTGGGCTGGTGCCCTAAACAGAAGCTTAGCAGGAATAGAATTGACAAGTCTTCAACTTCCTGGACTCCGGAAGCTTCCATTGATTCTGCTTCCAAAAGCAGAGTAAACAGACTTCAAGAAATGCCCTGCTGGGACTGAAACCTTGATGCTCCTGCTAGGACAGGGGAAGTCCTTGAATTGCGACCACAAAAACAACCGTCGCCTCCAAGTGAAAATTGGCACATGCGCTGCGGAACGCTACAGTTCCCTCACGTTGCATCCTTGAGGGTGTAGCAGTCCCATATTATCGAGTCCTCGACATACGACTACAACTGGTGCCCGGATTTCCATTGCTAAACAAGGTGGCTATTAAGGGAGTCACGACCCTACACCATTTCATACAAATGAATGCTTCTAAATTGAGGACTTCCTGTATAGCCGCTCACTTTTTCTGGTTTGCCTGGCGGAAACCGTGAGGACCTCAATTCTATTTTGTTAAGAGAGACAGATCAGGATCCCAACCTGGTTATTTTCATAAACGAAAGCCCTCAGTTTTCTCTGAGCTTTTTCCACCTATTTATGCAAATATCCAGGAAGCGCCGTCCTACCCACAGACGCTGATTCCACAACCAAGCATTTATGCAAATGATGGCGGGTCAGAAAACCGTTCCATGCCTATAAATAATATTTAAATGATTCTACTTTAAGAAGAGATTATTTGAAAGAGAGAGAGAGAGAGAGAGAAGGAGGGAGACGGTATGTTGCTAAGCCATAACGTGGTTTGTTTATTTGGAGTTCAGCCACTGGTGGGATTCAGCCGGTTCGTGTTAGTTCGTGCGAACCAGTTGTTAAATTGCTGACTGGCTCTGCCCCTCCCTTCCCCACCCCGCCCCTTCCAGGAGTCCCCATGCGCCCGGTTTTTGCTCCCAGGAGGCTGCAGGGAGGCCTACTAGGCCCAAAATCGGGCACGGGGGGAGCGGTGCGTCCCCCCCACACCCCATTTTTGCTCCCAGGAGGCTGCAGGGAGGCCTACTAGGCCCAAAAGGGGCATGGGTGTGGCGCCCCTCCCCCGTGGCCTGTTTTTGCTCCCAGGGAGGCGCAGGAGGCCGAGTGCTGTCTGTCACACCCCCTGGCCATGCCCACCATGGCCACGCCCACCCAGCCAGTCATTAGGGCACAGAACCAGTTGTTAAATTATTTGAATCCCACTGAGTTCAGCAATATGTCAAACCACGATTCGCGAAAACCACAACTTTGCCGGAAGGACAACCTGAGCCTGTAATGTGCCTAATCTGGATATATGTCTTATGTGTCACGAGCAAAGAAACGAGGTGTGAATTAGGAGTCGGAATAAGGGCGGCCTGTAAAATCTCTGCCGAGCAGAAGTTTTGTTTAATCGCATTATAATTGCCTTCCTTTTTTAAATTTTTTTTGCTTTCTCTTTCATATCGACTTTAATCAGACATTCTCACCAGCGTAATTAGCAAAGAAAGGAGCTGAAGTGCAGTTTAAGACTTGTTTGTAGAAATGTACTTTGGGGGAAAGTAAACAGACCGAAGAGAGGCAGATATATCCATTTTGAAACCCCGACTCTGGGAATTTCACCCAGTCTCTGCAATAAATCAGAATTGATGTATCCATCCAGACAGCATCGTTTACAATATTTATAATAAAGGCTATATGGTCTATATTATTCCAGTAATTATTTCCCAGAGGTTTTTCTCTTTTTTTAAACCAATTATTTTCGAACTGTTTAGGGAACGCAGAAGCCTCATCCGTCTCCCATCCTTGCAAATAGTTTTTACCTATGTCATTAATCACAGGGGGC